AGTGGACAGATGAGACCCATGGGAAGGCTTGGTATGAACTTGAGCAGAGTTTCTCCTCTGTGCCACTCGCCACGCTTCCATGGCAAACTTGCCATCTACGGCAAATAGTGAAGCCCACCCATCCTTTCATCCACCACATCTTAAAAAAATGGAGACTACATAAAACACTGTGGAACTTATCCCCGGGCATATCGCCTTTATATCCACTTGCCCTCAACCCAGACATTCTGGGAGTGAGGGGGATTTCAATCCTGGCGAAGCTACTGGGGAAATCAGACCCACAACTCAAAGATATACTAACAACAGATACACCTCCCCAAGTCATAAATCTACAGGGACTGGGAGGATGCCATTCATTCACTGAGACTCTGAGATGCTCCCAGCTGAAGCACTTTCTGACCCACAATATACTACCACACTGGACCCATAGGGAACTGACTCACTTTGAAAAATTATGCACTGCTACAAATACACGCAAACGTACACTCTCTCAAATTTATAAAATACTCCAAATACCACATGAGGAACAATAAACACTTATTTACCAGAGGAAATTGATGAAGGGACTCTGCATCCATATGACACACAAAGAATGGGAATACATTTTCTCCAAGCCTATGTTAGCCTCCATTAGCCTGTCCAGACGAGAGTCCTTCTACAAACGCATCACGCGTTGGTACAGAACACCAGATTTACTAAATTTGTTCTGGCCAACAATCAGTGATGAATGCTGGAGGTGAGGGGGAGGGATAGGCACAATGGAACACATTTGGTGGCAATGTCCAAAGATCAAAGGGTACTGGGATGAGGTAATCGCAAAAGTCAACACCGTCTTAGAGCTACCGCACTCTCTAACCCCCTCCCAAGTCTTGTTGGGATGGCCACAAACATTTCAAAACAAGGGAAAACAACTCTTGCTATGGCTATTACTAGGAGAAGCAAACAATCTCATACCGGTATACTGGAAAACAACCACAATCCCCACAGTGGATGGCGAGGGTAGAGAATACGAGAGAAATGGAGAGCCTCCACTGGTCCACACTGGGCAAACGCAATAGGTACCTGAACACCTGGGAACCCTGGCTCCAATATTGGGAGCAGACACTGAAGCAATCATAGCCAACTAAATAACAATGTATATAAAATAACAATGTACATAAAATAACAATGTATATGAACTAACAATGTATATAAGCTAACTACGTATTGTACCCTGTACTCCCACACACCTCTCCCCTCTCATTACCTGTCCACTCTTCCCCCAGATCCACCCCTGAACCCCCATATATCCAATCAGTCTACCCCCTGATTTTAGGCACACTGGACCCTAAATACAGGCTAAAGACTTACCA